CAGAGGCTCTGGTTTTACCCAGCCGCAGAGGTTTTCAGGCTTCACGTGCAGCTGAGGAATCGGAGTGGAGAGCAGCACCGCGGGGCACCATGCAGGCAGTTCTTCCTTGCCTGTGCCGCCTCGGTGTCGCACTCCTTCTGGCACTTTCCTCTGCTGCTGGCAGTTAATCTTCCTGAGCATTTACTGTAGGAAAGCTTTGAGAGGAGTCCCCTGATCTGCTCAGAGGGTGTTTATGTCCACAAGCTCCTGGTTTCCACGTTACAAGACTGCCTGGGAGAGGGGGCACATGCTTGTTGCTCATCTTCCTGTGTTCCTTCACTCTGCACGCTTGCACGGAGGTAACGCTTTTACTGCCAATTTTAGGGTCGGCTTGGCCTGGGCCTCAGCTGCATCATTCAACCACGTTAACATCCAAAATGCATATGCCTTTAAAATGACAGCTGGGGCTTTAGAACTAAAATAGATACAGATTTAACCCAAAGCTGGCATCCCTCTGTAAGAATCAGCAGTGTGTTCTATTAACTTTCAGGCTTCCTTCCACTATGATTAAATACACCTTGTTCGCAGCTAATACCTTTTTAGGCAGCATAAACAAATAGCTCTATTTGTAATCAATTCTAATTTATTCACACTTTAATTGAAATATCCCCTCCCTGCTACCACCCATAGCTGAGAAAACATGTTCAGCCCTATCTATCACGCAGGTATAAACACTGCAACGCCGTGTAGGCAATCATCTGATGAAGAAATGCTGATCAGCCAAATGCTCTTACCCTTCTAACATCTAGATCCCACCCCCCCCATTTTCTTTTCCCTCTGATGTGCTGACCTTGTCTATCAGCATGTGGATTACAGGGCTGCCTGGGATTCCTGGTTCACCATTATCCCAAGGAGCCCATGCAGGCTGCAGAGGCGCTGCAGTGGCTCATCAGCCATGCCATACATTCCTCTGTACAGCTTAAGCATTTCCTCATGTCACTACACTTAGGAGATTATAAACTAGCCTGGGAAACGTTTTCACTATCAATTTCAATATAAACTATTTTTATTTCCAAAGCCACATGACCATTGACTGAAGAGAGGTCTAAAAAGACATTGGCTAAAAGACCAGCAGATAGGTCCAGCTACCCAGATGTAATGGTTATCATACTATATCCATCTATATGTCACCTGTCCCGCAGGAATCACAAAGCAGGGTACATATATTCTTATCTGATCCTCTGAACACTGCTGTGGGATGCCATCACCATTCCCAAACCTGAGATACAGATGATTGGTGGCTTCTCCAGCAGCTAGACAGACCTTGGGAATGCTAAGGACACCCTAGAGTCCTCACCTGCCTCCCTCCTCTTGTGATACAGCACTCACCAAAACCAGCTGTATGTTATGGCTACCAAAATTCAGATGGAAATACAGGAGCAGAACTCAAACCAAATACAATGGGTTCAACCCAGCAGTATGTATTTTAACAGTGCCACACATAATCCATCTTTTGGAAGATGCTGGAGCTCGTCTTTGGCAGGGAGTACCAGCACATACTGCTGTAGATGTCAGATGGGACTAGAGCTCTTTTTTTCTTTCCTGAGCCAAAAATTGTGATGGCACTTAACCAACTATGTCCAGG